TGAAAGAGGGTATTTATAGTGTGCCCCCAGCGCAGGGCCAACGATTACATTGTATTGGGTCAGACTGCAGGTCCAACCCAAGTAACTGTCAGGGCTTACGTGGTGTAGTGAAGACTAACACGTGGTCTTCGCCCTAGATCAACTGCCCTGTGATCTTCGGAAGGTGGGCTGACCAACTCTTTCGGAGGTGGGTAGTTTCCCGATGACGTGTCCCTGTGTGGGGGAGCACGTGGAGAACGTGGGAAAAGCGCGTGAGCCTCCCCGTCAAGGGAGTCGTCTTCCCGACATATATGCCTTGTTGAAGCTCGTGTCAGATAGAGGGGGGATTGAGCCTCGCTAGGCCTCATCAGCATAGCATTGGGTTGGGCCTGCCTGGCTGAGGGGCAGGTTCCGACCCAGTCCAAAACATCACCCTTTTAGAATTTTTAAAAATCAAAACAATAAGGTTTCTAACTGATTATAGGTTTTATGTAATTGATTACAGTCAAAAATTTTATTTTTTATTTAATTAAAATAGTGGGTTTGTAATCGAGTACATGTTTTATGTAATCGATTACATGGTCGAATGTTTTGTTTTTCGTTTAGTTGGTTAGTTGTATAATTGTATATCAATTTATAAGTACCCAAATTTGGGTTGTTAATGTTAATGTCTACATTTTCACCTAATTATCTCTCTCTCTCTCTCTCTCTCTCTCTCTCTCTCTCTCTCTCTCTCTCTTACACACACACACACACACACACACACACACACACACACACACACACACACACTCACTCACACACGCATGCACGCGCGCGCGCATACTCACACACACACACACACACACATACACACATACACACACACACACACACACACACACACACACACACACACACCCTTGTTCATCATTATGATTGAGATTTCCCAAACATATTGCAAGAGCATGGTTCATTTGTTAAACACTTAGTGTGAAAAAATGCTTTCCATATCCAATGAAATTATCCTTGTAAATCTCTCAATTATCGATGTGAAGAACTATGATAAATGGTGCAAACAGATCAAGGTGTTGTTTAGTTATCAAGATGTTCTTAAAGTGACCAAGATCATGGTAATCCACTTGTATAAGGTGCAACAGTTTCACAAAAGACCGTGCATAAGGAAGAGAAGATTAAAGATTTCAAAGTTTTATATCTAATTCATCAATGTATTGATGCTAATAACTTTGAGAATGTTGGTGATTTCACATCCTCAAAGGATGTTTGAAAAATTCTGGAGAAAAGTTATGCAAGAGCTGATAAGGCAAAGGTAGTGAGGTTACAAGCTCAAAAGAGAAAACACGAATTGATTCAGATGGAAGAAAAGGAAACCACTAGTGAACTTACTACAAAAATATAAGATTGATAAATCAAATGAAAGCATGTTGAGAGAAAATCACTAAGTAGTATGTGGTTGTTAAAATCTTGAGATATTTAACATCATGATTAAATAACATAGTGGTTGCAATTGAAGAGTACAAAGATCTTTCAACCATTAGCAAAGAAGAGTTGAAAAGTTCTCTTGAGGCTCATGAGCAGACCAAATATGAATCACTTGAGATTGTTTGGTTCAGTGGCGTATAAACATATTCTGAATAAACTTAGAAAGAAGCTAGATGACAAGGGACAACAAATGATACTTGTTCAGTTCTACTCTACGGGTGGTTACAAACTCTATGACGCACTTAACAAGACAATCGTAATCATGAGGGACATGATTTTTTATGAATTAAGGGATTTGTAGCATGCAATAAACGATTACCAACTAGTTGCAATTGCTCCTGACAATATGTAAATGGCTCCTGTAGTGTATTTGGAGGGCTAGAAATTGCAGTTGGTGAAGTCCAAGTTGAATAAAATGTGAGAAGATAAACACTGCAAAGAAGCATGCCTACGAGATTTCAATATTGTGAGTTGTTCTGAATAATGAAGTAAACGAATGATGACCTTGTACATTTTGTGCTCATGGCTGAATTTAAATCGGTGAAAATGAAGGAGGCCTTGATTGATCCAAAATGAATATGCTTAATGAAGGAGGAGCTGAAGTCTATTGAGAAAAATAAGACATGGGGACTAGTTGATCTACCTCAAGGAAAAAAGTAAATTGGTGTAAAATGGGTGTATAAAGTGAAGGCAAACCCCAAAGGTAAAATAATTAAGCATAAAGCTATATTAGTAGCAAAAGGATGTTTGCAAAGATAAATAATTGACTTTGAAAAGGTATTTTCACCAATGTCCAAGATTGAAACCATTAGGCTAGTTGTTGGTATTTCAAATAAGAATAATGACTCCATCTACCTAATAGATGTCACATATGTGTTTTTGAACTGTCCATTAGAAGCGGAGGTGTATGTGGCATAACCAATTGGTTTTAAGCGGAAAAAACAGGAATCCAAGTTATACAGATTGAGGAAGGAATTATATGGGCTAAAGCAAACACAAAAAGCTTGTAACAAGATAATTGATAGGTTTCTAAAGGATGTAGGATTTGATAAATGTGTATTTGAATATGTTATGTGTGCGTAGAAGGATGCAAGCAAAAGAGTGATCATCATATGTGTTCTACGTTGATGATTTAATTATTACGAGGGGAAATTAAGGTTACATTACCGAATTATAGGGTGATTTAATGAAAGGGTTTGAGATGGTTGGCCTTGGTCTCATGACATATTTCCTTGACATTGAGTTTCACAAGTCTGATAAGGGAATTCTCATGCATCAAAAAGGTATACACTTAAAATATTGAAGATGTTTGAAATGTAGCATTTTAATGTGGCTATTACCCATGCATAACCAAGGTTACAATTGTCAAAGAATGAAGATGAGCGGGATATTAATCCAACGTAGTACAGAAGGCCGGTTGGATCATTGTGGTATTCATACAATACAAGACTAGACTTGGCATATAGTGTGGGCATAGTGAGAAGATTTATGGGGAAGCCAAAGGCATCACACTTGGCAGTATTCAAGAGAATTCTAAGATACTTCAAAGGTTCTACTGGCTGCGAAATTCTATTTTCCGCAACAGATAAAGGTAAAAGCTGCAAATTGCTTGGTTATACCGACTCAAACTGGTATGGAGGTAAAGATGACAGAAAATCCAATGTTTGGTTTATCTTTACGTATGGAGAAACACCAATCTCTTAGTGTTCTAATGAGGAACCAGTTATGACACTCTTTTCTTGCGAGGCTGAGTATATTGCAGTGTCTATGTGTGTGTTTGTTAAGCTGTACGGTTGATGAATTTGATGAAAGAGTAGTGCAACGAATAATATGAAACTGTTACATTAATGATAGACAACGTTTATGCTATAAACCTTGCAAAGAGTTCCATTGCACATGGGAAAAGCGAGCATATAGAGATGATATTTTACTACTTGAGAGAGCTGGCGAGTGAAAGAAACTTGAAGTTGGGGTATTGCAAAATTGAATGTCAAGTGTCCAATTTGCTAACCAAAGGAATGACAATTGAAATGTTCAAGAAATTGAAGAATCACATGAGTATGAAAGAATTGGAAGATTGAGTTAAGGTGGTGTGTTAATTTTTTTTTAAATTCAAGTAAGGTGTAACCAATTACAGGTTTGGTGTAACTGAATATCACTCGGAGGTAATAATTGACTACATACCCCCGCCTCCAACGGAGAACAAGTTTTCTCACTTCGCTCCGCACTCACCTGCAAAAGTTATAAAATTTAAAAAAATACTTATTTTTTCTTATAGCAATGACAATTGAATATATAAATTAAATATATGATCATTTTAATAATAATCATAATTAGATCATTTTCATTTAATTTGTATTTAACAAATAATAATAGTAGTTCTAATAAATCTATTATCTTAAGATTATGATCGGTAAATGGGTAATAACATTGTTAAAAATAAGAAAATATGTCGGGGCATGGTAGAGGTGGGCGCAAAACGAGTATTAGCATTTTTCAACCCCATTTCTATAATTAAAAATTGAGTTTTTCTCATCATCTCTCTCATCCCACTTAAAATTGAGGTGGGTTCGAATTTTTTCGCATGCCTACATCTAAGTCTATTTTTTCGCAATCTTTTTATAATACATGGGCTACCCCAACACTCTTTTTAATATTGTCATTTCTAATCTTTTTATGTATAATCGTATCACACATTTAACACAACATTTTCATCTCTAATACACTCATTTTATTCTTGTATTAATTTTCAACTCTGCTCAACATTTTATTTTATACAATATTGTAAATAATATCATAATCCGATAAAATTTTCTCTTCAATTTAAGCAGGACCTTTATAGCATATAACACCCTTAAAATCTTCCTCCATTTTATCTCCTCATCTTGAATTTGAATTGGATGGTTTCCAACCTAAATTTAAATCTAAGCAGAAAAAAAAAATCTTAGACTCTAACTGTCAATTGAGCTTTAGATTACATTCATTAATTACTACTTAGATGTGTATTAGCCAAAAATTGGTTGAATGAAAACCAAAAACCAAAAACCCAATGGGACCATAATCATTAATTTGACAATAGCTAAAACTAGTGAGGAACAGAGAAGCAAAAACAGTACACCCTGTTTTTGATGCTAAATTTACCACAAAATCCTATATCTATCTACACACAATCCCTTTGCAAATCCCTCAGTTGCCCATCCTCACATGTAGCCGTTGGTCTACAACAACCTTTTTAGGTCTCATTGGTCCCTACCACATGCATAAAATATTCAAAAACGCAACTAGTCCCGTTGTAATGTGGGTCCATGCAAGCGAAATCAAGCTAATTAGGACGGCAATAAAATATTATGTTTAATCTTTAATCATGTCATTGTCCATAACCAAACAAAATTAAACACTTAATTACTTGATTAACTTTCCTTTCTTTTGTCACATAAATACCACCTCTTTCTACTCAAATAACCACACTCACTACTCTCTCTCCCACTTTAGAAAACAGAGTAACCAACCAACCAACCTACAAACAAACAAACAGAGTCATGGCTAAAGATGTTGAGGTTCAAGAACAAGGAGAATACTCCGCAAAAGATTACCAAGATCCACCTCCAGCACCATTGATAGACCTTGATGAGTTAACAAAGTGGTCCTTTTACAGAGCTCTTATAGCTGAATTCGTAGCAACACTTCTCTTTCTTTATGTCACTATTTTAACCATCATTGGTTATAGCCACCAGACTGATGCTAACGCTGGCGGTACAGACTGTGACGGTGTTGGCATTTTGGGTATTGCCTGGGCTTTTGGTGGCATGATTTTCATCCTTGTTTACTGCACCGCTGGTATCTCTGGTATGATACCTTTTTCTAACATGCAAAAGAGCAGTCATAATTTATTTACATAACCGTCTCAAACTTTTAAGAGACTCTGTGTAAAAAATTGAAGTCTGACAGTTAGTTATGAATTGTTTAGAGACAATTTATTTTATTTAGTTTTCTGTAACATGCAAAAGAGCAGGCATAATATATTTATTTACGTACGGAACTGTGGTTTCAGGAGGACACATAAACCCTGCCGTGACGTTCGGGCTATTCGTGGGGCGCAAGGTGTCCTTGTTAAGGGCAGTATTCTACATGGCAGCACAGTGTGCAGGAGCAATCTGTGGGACCGGACTAGCCAAGGGTTTCCAGAAATCATTCTTTGACAGGTATGGAGGTGGTGCCAACTTTATCCATGATGGTTACAACAAAGGTACAGCTTTGGGTGCTGAGATTATTGGTACCTTTGTTCTTGTCTACACTGTCTTTTCTGCAACTGATCCTAAGAGAAACGCTAGGGACTCTCATGTTCCTGTAAGTATTTTTATACCCTAACAAATATTTACCTCTTTATTTTTATGTATAACTAACTTGGTGAAATAATTAATAGGTTTTGGCACCATTACCTATTGGATTTGCTGTTTTCATGGTTCATTTGGCCACTATTCCGATCACCGGTACCGGTATTAACCCGGCAAGAAGTTTCGGGTCCGCCGTGATCTTAAACCAGGACAAAATTTGGGATGATCAGGTAGACATTAAAATTATAGATCAAATTTTATGTTTTCTATTTTGAAGTTTTTCTGTTGCTAACATTACATAACTAATTTTCGTGATGATCAGTGGGTTTTCTGGGTTGGACCAATAATTGGAGCAACAGTGGCTGCAATTTACCATCAATACATTCTAAGAGGATCAGCAATTAAAGCTCTTGGATCATTCAGGAGCAACGCTTAATTAATTAATTAATTAAGCGAGCTAAATTGCTTAATTTGCCAGGAAGCTATGGTGTTAATTTCCACACAAGAATAATGTTGATGAGTGAAAATTAAGTGGTCCTTTTAGGTTTTTTTCTTTTGTATTTTCCTTTTCAGTTATAGCTGTGGGTGGGGGTTGGAAGGAAAAAACAAAAAGAAGGACCATGAAATTGTAGATATCCATGTTTGTGTTTCAAGGGTGTAATTTTTATCCCTTTTGTGTCCTTTTTTATTTCTATTTATTATTTCCAATGTATGTATGTATTCGATTCCTATGGGGTTGTTTTTCTATTTTGTGTATCATTAGTTATTTTCAAGCTCTCTTTCATAATTAAGTGCCATATTTGTCATCCTTCCCCTATTTTGAATTTCCTATCAAAATTTTCTTGTTTCTCAATGTTTTATAAACATTTATCTATGTTTTCCCTAATTGCAAATGTCATTAAAATTCATCATTTTATAAGAAAAATAGTATCACAAACCTAATTCTTGAAAGTTTCTTTGAATTTATTCCTGCTTAATCAAAACTCACATTGATCGTTTATATTCAACAATGTAACACAAATTTAAAATCGACCAAAACATTAATATTAAAAAGAGAAACCGGGTTCATATGTTCACATTTTACTCCAGTTCGGCTGAGAATAATTCGTACTTCGACGAGTAAAAATATTATCATTATTTAAAAATCGAGGTTGGTGATTGAATTTTTTTTCTCTCTTAGGTATGTATCATCATCTTGAAAACTAACAATGAAAAAAGAGGTGAAGCATCATCTTAGAATTAAAAGGAAAATTTTGGTGTGCCATTACTCCTTACCAAATATGTTTTATTAGATTCTTGGACTTTCAAATTCGTACGTTATCCCAAAAAATAACTAAACATTATAATCATCTCATGCACTTAGATTTTTATTTTTTAAATATAATTAAGGCCTAATATTAATTAATCATGACCACTGTCATATATTTGATAATAGATTTGTGTTGGGATGCTTATCCTAATTATATTAAACTGTTTCAAAATAGTGAGCTTCACTAAAAGCTATCTAGCACTATAATATAATAGATTACCTTTGTGGTGGTGGTGGTGGTTATTGAACGTGACACGAAACTTTGGAATTTTTAATGAAATTCATTGTAGTTGCTTGGGAGATATCATATATAAGTAATTAAAAAATTGAGAATAAAAAGTAATAAAATGAAAAAGTAAACAAGTTAGGTGGATTATTTGGGATTCCTTACATGTGCATTTGGTTATTTATTATTTCATATGAATAGATAATATAGATTGGTGAGGTAACACCTTATCTTCATTACCATATTTTATGCCTTAATTATTTTGTAGACATTGCGTTGCCTAGGTTAGTTTATTAGAGTGTACAATTTTTCTTTAACATTAGGATAATAGATTAGTGAGGTAACACCCTAACCCTATCTCACCATATTTAATACCTAAATTTATAATTTTGTAACATCAATACATAGGTATGTTTTTGTAGTTGAAAATGAGCATAATTTTAAAAAAAGTTATTAAAAATATTTTCCTTGTCATTTTTCTAATACTCAATATTTTATTTAATAAAATATTATACTATTTTATGTGAAGTCTATTTTTAAAATAAAATAATTAAAATTTTTTTATTAAATAAAAGAGTGAATATTAAAAAAAATTGTTAATATATTCATAATATATCTCTTTAAAATATAGTAACATCACTTCGTTTAGGTATGAAAAAGAAATGAGAAAAAAAAAACAAATCATTGTCGTAATACTAATAAAAAGTATATAAAATAAAGGTCTTTGTATATTTTATATTACATTTTTATATTAAGTCTAATACATTATGTACAAAATAGTTTTTTTCCTTACTGAATTGTGTCACCATTTATTAAAAAAAATATATGTTACTTTAACTTATATGTGTGGCTTATTTTTTCTAATACAACTCTTAATATTAATGTAAGAGTGTTAACATAAATAATGCGTAATCAAGATAGATCAGTTTACACCATACTATGTTTTTATATTAAAAAATAATATTCATTTTAAAGTAAATGATATCATTATTAATAATTTTTTTCATGTCTTATTTTTATTCTATCTAATGTCAAATTGAATTTATTTAATAATTCTTTTTATGAATAATTTTTTGAAGTATTAGAATTTACGTTTGATCGATTTCATTTTTAAAAAACATATTTATAAATGTTAAACGAGTAGAGCTGCATTACCTGCCATTTTTGTATAATTTTGATTAAATTATTTTATATATAAAATAATTCTTTATTAAAAAAATTTATAAAATAAAAAATGTCACTATATAAATTTTTTTATCTGTTACATATAACTAGAATATAAGACTTTTTTTAATATATGCTTTCACACTCAATTATATTAAATTTAATTTGTGAATATAAACCGAATTTGTTTTGTAATCCGATTGATATTATATTAAAATTACCATTTAATCTAACTCATATTACAAAATTGACTTATACAATATTTCTCTTTATTATATAAGTTACACAATTTTTATAAAACATTCGTTAACATTTTATAAATTATTATCATGTTCTATCCTTAATAAACGTGATATTTAAAAATTTTCAATAAGAATAAATGATTTATGGTAAGATGTAAGTTGGGTTAGAAAAAAAACAAAATTGAAGGAAATTGAGAAAAAGACACTTGGTTTCATCTTCTCCATTAAGAAGCAAATCATGTTTAAAAAGAAGATAAGATTTTGACGTATATTCCATTCTAAAGTGGATATTCATGGTTAAAAGAGAACTAGAGAAGGTGATGGAACATTCATGATTATTTTTTAGTGAAACAATCAAAATCGTTTTATATCCATAAGTTAAGTATCTTAAAAATTAAAGAAACAATGCTATTGCGCATTAACAACTGATGGGACCTATTAACTTCAATAAAGGGGCAACTAAGTCCCATAATTATCGCAGTAAGCTTCTAGGACCATCTTACTTTGGAAGTCTCTCGTACCAACTGGATTAATCCTTTAATCTCTTCTTCTTTTAGTAAACTTTTTGACAACAAAATAACACTTTTTTAATATCTTTTTAATGTTGAAATGTAATTCATTCGAAATTGTGAGTTTGTATTTGAATTGAATTTCGGTTACATTTAAATTGGATGAGTATATAAATCACTACTTAGTTATACATTATAACAGTTTTTTATTTGAAAAAAAAGTTAACTAGAAAAAATACTCTCTCTCTCTTTCTTTGACGCTCTCTCTCATACACACACATTCTTGTGCATTGTTAATAAAGTTTTATTGTTGAATTCCAACAATTGATATCTAGAACCCCAGTTCGATTCATAGGAAAATACGAGTGTCGTGAGATATGTGATTGATTTAGTTTCTGAAATTCACGTTGAATTGAAGTTCAAAATCGCAGATCTTGATTCTCAGGGTTTGAGAAACACGAGTGTTGGTGAGAACTGAGTGATTTGCAGAAGAACGAAGATGAACGACAAAATCAGTAGCTTGAACATAAAGCTTCCAATATTCGACAGAAAGAACTAGAATTAGTGGTCGGTTCAGACGCGTGTGTTGTTTGGAGCTCAAGATGTTCTTGATCTCGTCAATGACAGTTACATGCCAGTTATAGAAAATACAACAGAAGCGCAAAGAACTGCACAACGAGAAACAAGGAAGACGAATTAAAAGACATTGTTCTATATCCATCAGTGCGTGGATACAAAGGTGTTTAAGAAAATTGTTGATTCGACGACGACGAAGGCTGCGTGAGATACATTAGTACGGTGCTATGGTGGTGACACGTTAGTGAAGAATGTCAAACTTTAGTCTCTACGTAAGCAATATGAGAATCTCAGCATGAAGAATAATGAGAATATACCTAATTACATCTCTAGATGATTGTGGTCACTAATGAGAAGAAGTCTTGTGGAGAAAACACTCTCTGAACAAGTAATTATTGAAAAGGTATTGAGATCACTTACTTCTCAGTTTGAGTACATTGTTGTAGCCATATAACACTATAAAGATACCAACACCATGAGAATCGAAGAGCTTTAGAGTAGTTTAGAGGCACAAGAGTTGTGTCTGACTGAAAGAAACTCTAAACAAGAGTTAGAACAGGCTTTGAAAGCTCAGACTTTGAAAGCTTATTTTAGAAAAAAGAACCATAAACAAGCATTGTTTGAGAACAAGAAGAAGTGTGGTGGTGGTATTCAGAAGTCAGAACCCTTCGATTTTGATAAGAAACATCAGAGTGTTCATAAGGGAAAGGAAAAGTTTGACAAGAGAAAAGTTCAGTGCTACAGTTGCAACAAGTTTGACCATTTTGCTGTTGATTACTAGTCAACTAAGGTTAGCAAGGGTGAAAAAGCCAACATAGCCAGAGCAGATTATGATGATGAACTTGTGCAATTGATGGCATTTGAGAATGTAGGCGGATCAATGATGGACTAGTGGTATATGGACACTGGTTTCTTAAATCACCTAATTGGAAACAAGCAATGATTGGTTGATTTTGACTCTGGTAAAAGGACAAAGATCAGATGTTCTAATGATGAGTATCTAAATGTTAAGGGAATGGGAAATGTCAGAGTTAAGTTGAACAGTGGAAAACTGTACTTATCAAGGATGTATAGTATGTTTATGGCATGAATAACAATCTGATACGTGTAGGTCAACTGATTGAATTTTTTTTAGTAACCATGAAGGACAATCTCTTGAAGTTGTATGATTGTAATCAGAAGCAGATTATGCAGTATGAACTGGAAATAAACAGAACATTCAAGGTGAATGTTACAACAACAGAAACTCAATGCATTAGTGCAAGAAGTACTGAAGAAGAAAGTGAGTTATGGTACAAGAGATTGGGACATCTAAACTATAGAAGCTTACGGCATCTAAGTTCAAAAAATCTAGTACATGGAATTTCTAAGATTGTGGAACCTGAGAAATCATGCGATGTATGCATGAAA